AACCTCTTCTAGTATTGCATATGTAATAAGTTTGTTGTAAAAAGTTCGTAAATCCAAATTAATGTAGCTAACTTCTTGTATTAGATATCTGTTATTTGGAATCTGTAATTTTTGTAGAATTTGCTTTCTGTCTAATCTAACAATTTCCAGAGCTTACAATTCTGTAATCTGCAAAAAATATTAAGCTTTTGTTTTAGTAGTTACACAAATACGAATTGGTTTGCTTTTGTTTTACAATTGTATTTTAATTGTTAACGGTCATTTCGGTTTTTATACCATTTTCATACTAATCTATAATATAGATTCTGCTCTTAAATGCTCATCGATGGTAGATTTTAGGCATAGAATAAGAACATTCAATGTTTCTTTGCTATCAAAGAGGTCCAACATTATTCCTTCATTACAATGGTCGGCAAAATAAGTAGCGTTAGCTTTTTTGTAATAGTTGTAGATTTTCTATGTTCATTTAAGCTGAATTGCAAGGCTGTGCTAGTTTGACCGATGTATCTTTACTTTCATTTTTCTTAATAAATCCATCTTATCCTGATCATTTACGAATAGCGTGCTTAAATTTAACTTGTGAACGGTGATTGTGTAATTTAACATACACATAATAATATTTTTGACTGCTTACATGCGAGTTAAAATTGATAAATTAATATTATTTCTCTTTGTATTTGGAAAAGTACAAAAAAATACAATAGTGAAACAAACCCTATTTTTTCTTATTCATATTCACTTTAGTTTGTTTTCATTTTAATACTCACTTTGACCTTCCACACAATTGATTGAGTCCACAAACTAAGAATTTGGGAAAGTTTTTCTGTTGCCTCTTCCATTAACTACACAAACTTTGTAAAATGAAGCAAAATTATTTTCATTACAGTTCTATTAGGCACAAACAACAAAAACAAAAATAATGAAATTGCTTTACCTAAAAGTAATGTGAAAAGAATCTTCATGTTGCTTCTTGATAAGGAAAGACGTATAATAACAAAATAGCAAAGGTTTGCCTAGTTTATATATTCCAGTTGAGACACTCAAGGTGTTTTGAATTGATAATTAAAACAATAGCACGAGCTGTCTTGAATGTTTTTGTTTACACTTGACTTGATAATATCTTAAAGCTGATAAAATACTCACTTACAGAATGTAGGTTAGATTATAAAAAAAACCCTACACTACAAGAATTCTTAGCCTCGAAAGTCGGCCTTTTTAAATATTAGGGTAACTATTTTCCAAAACAATTCGTTTTAGTTTCATTGTTCTGCTATTTTGAATGCATTTTATTATTACCAATAAACATAGAGGAAACTTTTTACTGCCGTCTACTTCTAACGTGTGCCTGTTATCAATGTAACTCAGTTGCGAAATTGTAAAAAAAACACGTAAACTTTATTGACTAGATAACATAATAATTTTATGAGAAGAGATTGCACACGTGGCTTTAAAATAAAATACACATTTGAAAGTAATTTAATCTATCGTCATTTGAACGCACACAAACAGATTAAATTAACAGATGTTGTGAATTCAAGTTGACCTTCCGTTAGATATACAACAAAATCATTTCGCTGCATCTTAACAAACTAAATACTCAAAGATTTTTAACAAAATAGATTGTTACTGAATATTATTCACAGTGTAGTTGGTGGGCGGTTTGTAAAATTTTGTTTAATATTTTAAAAAACAATAAAAGCACTTTTAATGTTTCACAAATAGAATTTATTATAGAATAAAATAATTCGAAGTGGTCTGTATTCTGTCGAAACTGCCAGACGTAAATCGCCATTTCGATCTTTTTGGATCTCATCAGCGCGTCGCAGACAGCTCCGACAGAACACAGACCAACTTTTACCTGCTGTCTTAACAGCGCGTTTTAGAAAATACCACAAATGGCGCGGTAAACGCCATCTGTAGTACGATGCTACATTTTAGGATTACGTATGCTCCAACAAGGTCCATTTAAATATATGGATATCTACTTGCTGAAACGAATCCCGGCGTAGCTAACCTCAACGTGATAGGCACGTTACCATAATCGAATAAAATAATTCGAAGTGGTCTGTATTCTGTCGAAACTGCCAGACGCGGATCGCGATTTCGATCTTTTTGGATCTCATCAGCGCGTCGCAGACAGCTTCGACAGAACACAGACCAACTTTTACCTGCTGTCTTAACAGCGGACTTTAGAAAATACCACAGATGGCGCGGTAAACGCTGTCTGTAGTACGATGCTACATTTTAGAATTACTTACGACGCGCTGATGAGATCCAAAAAGATCGAAATCGCGATCCGCGTCTGACAGATTCGACAGAATACAGACCACTTCGAATTATTTTATTCGATTATGGTAACGTGCCTATAACGTTGAGGTTAGCTATGCCGGGATTACGTTTCAGCAAGTAGATATCCATATATTTAAATGGACCTTGCTGGAGCATACGTAATCCTAAAATGTAGCATCGTACTACAGATGAAGTTTACGGCGTCATTTGTTGGATTTTTTAAAATTTATTATAATTGGAGAATTGTATCGATAGAATTACGCCTTTATCAAGGGTAACAGTATATCACTAAAATTAAGGGTGTGTTTTTTATGTTTTTATAGGTACATGAATTTGTGGAAATACTTTGAATGCTAAGTATTTAGTATAAGTCTGAAATCTGACATGGTTGTATTAATTTATTAAAGAAGTGATTATAATTTATACAATGAGTAGCGACACCCGAATTATGTTTTTTATCAATTATTGATCTTTTATCTTCATTGAAGATGATGTTTAGGTTTCTACCAATCTGACCAATGTAATAAGAGTCACAGCTACTACAGGATAATTTTTATGCGCTTCTTTTTGTATTTTATTATATATACTTTGTATTATAATGAATGTTACATTTAATATTAACAGTAGTATAAATTTATTCACGATTATTTTCTTCGTTTTATTTCTGATTAGTTTATAAATTAAACTCACTTTATATCCGTTATTATCTGCAATATGTTAAGGAAGAGATTGTTATTGCACAATCTGCCGCTGGAAATGCAACTGCCTCGCCCCTGGACCGGAGTGATTGTCTCCTCTTCCTAATAAACACGTTACAAATAATCAGCCTACTTTGGACTGCCTACCGGGAGTACCGGCGTCATCTACATCAACATATTAATAAAAAGATTGCCCAGGCCAACCGTAACGTGGAAATTTAACCATGTCTCGTCCGCAAAATGCCCAACCTACCTCATCCATCGACCGTCTAGTTGTCAAACTGCCATCTTTCGTGCCATCTGACCCCGAACTTTGGTTTTATATGGTGGAACGAAGCTTTGAGGCCTCCGGAGAATCAACAAGATTCGGCAATGTATTGGGCAATTTGGATCCTCGTTACGCAGCCAAAGTACGTGACATCATCATAAACCCACCGGAGACTGAAACATATGCCACCATCAAGGCAGCACTCTTTCGTCGGCTGGGCATCTCCCAAGAAACACGGATGAAACAACTCCTCGAGCCAGGAGATTTGAGAGACAGGAAACCCACGCAATTTTTGTGCCATCTACGGGGTCTGGCCGGAACCACAATGTCGGGCAATTTACTGCGAACCATTTGGTCAAGTCGTCTTCCTCTTAGTATTCAAGCCATCATCGCTACTATGCGTGATAAGAATCTGGATGAAACAGCAGAGGTAGCTGATTACATCATGTAAGCAAGTCAAACACAGTCCATAATAGCAGCTACGGCCATGCCTACTCTCCAGCACGATACCATGCAACAACCGACCAACAAGGTACAGGCACTCCAGATGGATCTAATTCAAATAAGACGACACATGGCAAGAAAATTGAAGAACCAATACCGTTCAACTTCACGCAGTTCTCTACCGCGACCACAATATTAGGGCAAATGGTCAAGGGCAAGGTACACTAACGCATCCCACCATAACGGATGACAACAGGAAATCAATCAAGAAACCACGTATGGCAACGACTGAGGTCCACACAGCGCAACGACGCCTATTTGTATCAGACAAAGTCACAAATCAAAAACTTATGGTCGACACCGGTGCTGATATCTGCGTGTATCCAAGTCACTACCGCCGGTCACCAGTAGCATGCAAACCACGACGTTTAGCCCCGGACCGTTTCTCTGCAACCAAAAGAGAATTTGAAACGTTGGTACAACTGGATATCGCACGTCCCTCCTCCAGCCCCTGGGCATCGCCACTGCATATGGTCCCAAAGAAAGACGATGAATGGCGCCCATGCGGAGACTACCTTGCTCTCAACGCGAGAACAATCCCGGACAGATATCCTGTACGCAACATCGACGATTTCACGCATGCATTGGCATACAAGACGATTGATTTTCTCCACGATCGACCTAGTTCGAGCTTATAACCAAATTCGAGTCGCGGAGGAAGACATCCCAAATACAGTCATTATAACACCTTTGGGTTGTTCGAGTTTCCTCACATGAATTTTGGTTTACGTAACGCCAGCCAAACATTCCAACACTTTATCGACGAAGTGTTACACGGTCTTGACTTACATTGACGATACACTGGTTGCATCGGAAAATGCTGAACAGCACAAACAGCATTTACGCACGTTATCTACTCGTCCACATTCATACGGAATATTGCTTAATCAAGCAAAATGCAATTTTGGCAAACAAGAAATCGTTTTTCTAGGTTATTCTGTCTCGGCAAATGGAATACGCCCTTTATTGTGGTTCTGAGAAGAACCGATTTCCAACGAGGTTGAACACATTGTTGTGTCTATGATGAGTGGTAGCACTGATACAGCATCCGATGGTTGATACCCTTCCGGTATTCAGGGGTTGATACTGTTGCAGTATCCACTAAAAGCGAGCCTGGTGTTAGACTGATTTATTTAACTATTTACATGCTATTTATACAAAACTATTTACATTGGTTTAAATGGCAAAGAACACTTCAGCATTTTACATTTGTGTATGTAAATGCCTTTGACCTAGCTAGTCGCACTGTGTCGCGACCTAACTAAGTCGGAACAAATGAAGACGCTTGATTGATACACATTAGAATTGTTTCTTGCTATACCGAGTGTTCCCACAGGACGCCCCTTCCAGTGAGGAACGATGTGGATTAACTTGCTCGGATATAGCTTGGGAAATGTACTCGACGACCGGACCGGGTTGTTATATGTGCTGGTCGATCTTCCATTTCCCTCCTTGTAGGTATAGGTTGAGGATGCTGTTCGTCTCTCACGATATATGCTGGTTTCTGAATAGATACTGCTTGTGCCGGGAATGTGAATCCGTTTAAGTTCTAGGGATTGGTTAGAGTTGAGATATTTTTGAAGTTCCCTGTTGGATTCCTGCTCAGAGATCCTTGAGAGTGTGTCGGCGGTGAAGTTATCTTTCCCAGAAATATGTTAGATATTCGTTGAGAACTGGCTAATGAAATTGAGGTGCCGTGACTCTCTGGGAGAGCATTTGTCAGGGTTCTGACGGAAGGCAAAGGTAAGAGGCTTGTGATCTGTAAAAATTATGAAGTCACGGGCTTCTTCTTATTACTTAAAGGTAAAAAGTCTAAGTAAATGCTGTCATTTTAATACTTCTAAATCGATTATAGTTAGAAGGTGTTGTCACATCAGTACAGGTTTTTTAGGTAACATAAATTTTGTTATTTCCATATATAAAAAGTTGTAACCTATCCCATTTTAAACTTCGCGGTCACAGCCAGTGGCAGTACCGCCACTCTCCGGACCACCCTTTCCGATAGCGCCACCAGCTACCCCTGGACGCCGCCAAACGCTACCCTTACTACCAGGACGATGTGGCTTAGCCACCCCTTCCCTTTCCGGCACCCAGAATTGATATTTAAGGAACCACACTACCAAAGGAAGGTAGTTGGTCTCTAACTAATAGCTCCTATCGACTGTGCATCCTCCGGGGTCTAGTCACCTTGGGACATTAGTAATACCAACGAGCCCGGCCTGCACCCTCTGGGGTCTGCCACGATTGACGCAGGTATAGTTAGTGTACGGAATTAATTTAATGAATAGAGTTAAGTGTTAAACAAAATAAATAAATATTATTACGTGTTTGTTTAAATTTAAAACCCCGTAATAAAGTTTAATTAATTAATTTTTTTAAATCCATTGTAAATTGTATCTTATTATGGATAGAGTTAATTAAGTTCAATGAAATTAATGAGGATAAATTGTTGGTCGCAATTTCGTACTGTGGGATGCTGCTGTCACCTCGTCGTAGTGATAAAGTATAGGTGTGTAAACTCAGATGCCCGGGTTCGGTTCCCGGCGAGGGAGTGACAGCAGCAACAATTTTTCCATATTAATTTGTGGTTATCTGTAGCGGTCAAAGTTAATTCAAAAATTTTTGTTGCCATTTCTTCCCCAACAATTGTATAAAGTAAGAAATCAATGTACAAATGCTTTTATTGATACGAGACCAATAATCTACGTTTCGCCTCAATTATGACGCATCTTCATCCTTACTAAAAACACAGCGTTTAAATGTGCTTTTATTGGTTTTTAAAATACTGATACTGTATTGCTGTCAGTGACTATATTAATTGTTAGAACAAAAGGCTTATTCAAGATAAAACTTTAACATGTTCTGTTTGTTATTTGTTTATAAACCAATATCCGGCCGACTGCCTGGGAATTTTTTCTATAACGTTTTTCTTAACGGTCAGTTCACGTGACTTGCGAATTCATATAAATTGGTTTGCACCTCCCAAAGACTTCACTTCATTCTTGTTCCTGTTCAAATGTATTTTAACTTGTTTTGTTTAATTAATAAATTCACATTGTATTTCACTAAAACGGCTTATTATTGGAAAAGCTTTAACAGGTTATGGGCCCAGATTTCGCGTACACTGGGGGCTGTTAATTTTTTCTAAAGTGGTGAATATTGAGTAAGAGTTTGTGAATTATTAATTACGGAAAAGATGGAGTCGACAAGTGCGAGAATTGAAAAACTGCGTGATCAAGACAACTGGTTGCAATGGCGTTTCGTAATGCGTACATTGTTGGAAGAAGATGATGATTTGATAAGTGTTTGTGAGGGTAAGTTGACACGCCCTGTAGAAGAAAATTCAGAAAATGAAGCTACTCTGAAGAAATTTTTAAAAGCTGATAAGGCTGCACGGAAACTGATAGTGACATCGGTGGAAAGAAAACCGCTGGATTTGCTGTTAAACTGCACAACTGCCAGAGAAATGTGGAATAAATTAAACACGGTATACGACATGAAATCAGATGAGAATTTATCATTAATACAAAAACAATTCTTTGACTTTAAGTGGGAAATAAGTGAATCGGTAGCGCAAAATATATCAAAAATTGAACAGTTAACATCGAAAATGAAAAGCCTTGGTGGTGAAGTTCCAAAAAGTATGTTAATAACGCGTATTTTGTCGATTCTACCGAAAAAATTTAATCATTTTCATAGTGCGTGGGACTCTGTTGACGAATCAAAGAAAAATTTAGAAAACTTGACAGCAAGATTAATGACTGAAGAAGTACGAGTGAATGATCAACAGAACTCTGAAGAACCGTCGTCTGCAGCATTAGTGGGAAAGCAAACAAAAAGTGTAGGAAAAGAAAACAATCAAGGACTTAGTTGTTATAACTGCGGAAAAAGTGGACATTTTGAAGAAGAACTGTTTTAGGTGTTACACGTGCAAAAAGAAAGGACATACAAGCAAGAATTGTTATCAAAACCGAGGTAAAGTCAATTCACGACAAGAAAGTTCTCAAACAACAGGAGGTGGTTCGTGTCAGCGGGATTCAACAACAAAATTAGCGTTCATTGGAGAAAGAGTAAGCAATGACAACGATTTTTGGCTGATTGATTCTGGAGCATCAGACCATATGACAAGTCATCGGGAATGGTTTGTTACCTTTCAAGAATTTGAGGAACCAGTAAAAATCCGCATAGGAGATGGAGCTTTGATGACTGCACACGGTAAAGGTAATATAGAAATAAAAACATTTGTAGGCAGCAAAAGTGAAAACGGGACAATGTATGATGTTTTGTATGTACCGAATTTGAAGCAAAATCTATTTTCTGTAAAAGTAGTTGCGAAAAAAGGAATAGATTTTTTGATCACTGATAGTGGTAGGAAATGTGTTTTTATGCGTGATAAAAGTGTTGTTGCTACAGGCTCTGATGCAGGAAATCTTTATAAAATAGATATGTGTGTTTTATTGCCAAAAATTTGTAATTTAACAAATAAAATGAATGAATCAAATGTTAAAAAGGCAGAAAATTTACAATTGTGGCATGAAAGATTTTGTCATCAGAACAATAGATATGTTAAAAGTTTTTTGAAAAATTTGGGTGTAGAAGTTTCTGATAAAAAAGTCTTTTGTGAAGGATGTGTTTATGGGAAACACCATAGGTCAGGTCAGGAAATTGAATCATTGGGAAGAAAAAGATATTTTGTAGTCTTTAAAGATGATTTTTCAGGTTTTCGGAAAATTTACTTTATGTCACATAAGCCAGAAATAGCTGAAAAATTAAAATTATTTTGTTTAGAAATTGAAAATCAACTTAAAGAAAATATTAAAGAAATCCACAGTGATGGAGGAAAAGAATTTATAAACAAGGATGTAGACAAATTCTTAGGTAGTAAAGGAATCAGGCATACAGTAAATGTACCATACACGCCGGAACAAAACGGGGTTGCGGAGCGCG